TCTTGGCGGTCTACACGCTCGTCTTCTGTTCTCAGCTCTAGTTGTGAGGGTGAGATCTACGCCACAGCCATGGCTGCACAGGAGTTACGCTGGCTCACCTACCTGCTGACCGACATGGGAGAGAGGCCTCGTTCTTCTCTAGTTCTGTACGTCGACAACAAGGCTGCCATTGCCTTGTGTTAGGACCACAGACTATAGCACTGAATGAAGCACATCTCTCTGCATTACTTCCTTGCTCGAGAGTTGTAGCAGCATGGTCAGCTTTGTATCGCCCACATGCCCACCCAAGCAAACAGGGCTGATGTGTTCACCAAGGCCCTTCCGGCTGGTGATCATCAGCGCTTCCACACTGCTCTAGGCCTGGTGCCTACGTTTGCTCACTTGCTATAGACTTTGGTTGTACTTTGATCTATATATATCTACCTGCATGTTTTCTCTTGCTAGGTAGTGATCACTGTACTGTTGTTGTTGCATATATACCTCTACATGTGAACTGGCCTTGTGGCCCTTTTTGCTTGTGCTCGGAGTGTGTGGTGACGTTGTGATCCACCCTGAGCTTGCATTGCTTTTCTTGATTGGTCTTGTGACCCCTTTTTCTTCCCCACTTTGCCTATGGAGGTGTGTCAAACTATATATATGCTATGGTATAATGGGTAGGCTATAGTGGGGTAGCCAACATGGGGTACAACCCCTTTAGGTTTTGTACTTGTACCAACTCTCTCGATAGTTGACATGATTCTTGCTTGCTGATTCTGACAAACCTGATCTAAAATTTGTCAAAATAGTAGGTATGGCTAGAGCCACTAGCCTAGGGTTTAGGCTAGGTAAGGGAGAGGAGTTCAAGCAAAAGAGGATGTTCACTAGGGAAAGACAAGTTCAAATAGGATGAGCAAGACAAGGTGGTGCACCACCACCAAAATGGAGCAGCTACACTAATACTACAGACAATTATATGAATTATGGGCAACATATTTTGACACGCCCCCATAATTGTTTGCAGGGATAGGTGTAGCATCGCCTCCTGAAGGGGTACACCATGTAGTGTATAGCAGAAGAAGAGGGCAAGCGAAGAGGAGGGACTATGCAAGGAGAGGAGGTAGGAAGCGGCGGCTGAAGGTGCTGGCATACACGCGAGTGGAGCAACAGGCACACTGGCTACCGGAGCACGACGGCACCGGACTACGGGAGTAACTGGCTCCACCGCTACGCCAAGCGGCTGGAGCATTGACCCACGGGCGACTGGTGCAACGGGCTCACTGGCTACCGAAGCACGCTGACTTCGAACTACTAGCGCTGCTAGCGTCACGATGGCTACCTCCTGCCAACCTCCCCCCATTGTCCCACACCCCCTTTCCACATCCCATTCTGCACCTCTAACGCCACTCCCTCGGCTCCCCACGCCACTCCCTCGTTTCCCCCACACCCTCCCCCCCCCCCAAGCAGCAAGTGCGGCAGTGGGAGAGAGAGGAGGAGGGGCGGCAGCAGATCACTCACACCCGCCACCCCCATACCCTCCCCCCCACTGCCACACGTGCAGCAGGGAGATGAAGGGGAAGGGGGGGCGGGGAGGCGCGGTAGGAGGTGCGCGGGCGACAGCAGGGCGCAGTGGCGGGAAGAACCCGTCGCGCGTCCAGGGCGCGCAACGGGCAGAAACCGTCATGCACCTGGGGCGTGCGACGGGCAGAGAACCATCGCACGCCCGGGGTGCACGACGGGCGCGCGACGGGGACGAAATTGCCGCACGCCCTGGGCGCGCGACGAGCAAAAAATCGACGCGCGCCCGGGGCGCGCGGCGGGCAGAAAACCGACGCGCGCCCCAGGCGCGCGATGGGCAGCAGAGAGGCCCATGAGCGGAAGCGTAGTGGTGGGCCCTATGAGACAGGTCCAAGGAGAAACCTCGCTCTGATACCATGTCAAAATAGTAGGTATGGCTAGAGCCACTAGCCTAGGGTTTAGGCTAGGTAAGGGAGAGGAGTTCAAGCAAAGGAGGATGTTCACTATGGAAAGACAAGTACAAATAGGATGAGCAAGACAAGGTGGTGCACCACCACCAAAATGGAGCAGCTACACTAACACTACAGACAATTATATGAAATATGGGCAACATATTTTGACAAAATTCTCACCCCAAAGTTTCTTTGGGGTGACTTTTGGGTTAGCTTAGGGCTAGATTCGCGTCAAGGTCAGGTTTGGGTAAGCAACATTTTGGGGATGATATCGAAGGCATGATGCACGCACCGAATTCCGGGATGAGGTGGTCGAAAGCCGCGGTAGTGGCGAAGTATTTGCCGTTGTACTTGTGGTCCTTGAGCGCTTCGTTCGCCCTTTTCATCTCGTCCTTCGTCGACCGAGGAGCAGCGCGAGCAGCACGCAGATGACGAGGCAAGAAGGGCTCCACGAAACCTGACAGTTTTCGTGACAGGCCATGATTGGGCGGTGAGGAACAAGGATTGCACTGACGACGATGCCAACTCATGCTAACGATAAGGGAGATTGCCATTGCACCGTGCTGACGAGATCATGCCAACTCATGGAATTTATAAGCGGGGAATTGACTCAGAGGAAAGAGTGCCGTGGCGACCAAAATGGGCGGGAAGATGTTTGTGGCCAAACTGAGAATCCGCGAGGATTCACGAAGATACGCGCTTCCAGGTATTCGCCGCGACACGGAAGACGCGCCTGAAATTTTGCTGGGGGTCCGTCTGTTGCGGCCAGGTGAATTATCCCCCTGCCTCTCACTTCGCCACGGCGGAGGATTCACGAATCACGAGATGGGTAACGTTGCGGAACGCAGGTGTGTAGGTGTTGTTCAGGTGAGCAGGCAAGGCAAGGTCCTTTGAGACATATTTTGTTAAAGGCGGGGTGCAACTTCTTAGGAACAGTAAGGGGACAAAAATGGCATGTGAGTAACTTGAATTCTATTGGACGAAAAAGCTGGAAAACCACAAGAGGGCAAACCTCTCGCCCCTGAACTGCCTGGGTCAACGAACTTCCAAGCTATAATACTTTGAACTCGACCTGATAGTTGGACCACGGCTTTAAAACAACCAGACCCACTGTACCTCTTGACCTATTTGAAATAAAACTTTCCGCTGTTCAAATGCTCTATACATCTACATATAAACATTTCTACTTGTAAAACAAAACATAATTTCCACGTCAAGAATTGCAATGCCCAGCTTTAAGTACCTACGACGGTCATTTCGTCAGCAAGGATTTACTGGCCTGCAAACAGAGCTCCACCAGCGCCGGCACTTGCCGTATTAGGCCCTCATTTCGTGGTGCAAGAGCGGGCCCGTAGGGTAGCGTGAGTAGAAGACTTTTGAGTCGACTCAAAAGGGTGGCGCGTTGACTTTTGAGTCGACCCAAAAAGGGTGGCGTAAGCGGAAGACAGGCACAAGGGTAGCAAGTCAGAGAGGACTGCCGACTGCAACCCGTGTTGCCCGTGCCGCCACTGCTGCTTGGAGGCATTGCACAGGCGCACCTGGGAGCGGGGAGGGCAGAGAGAAGAGGGGTCTGTGGTGAGTCGTGATTTTTTGCCAACTCTTCAACCGGTTGGATAAGTACAGGCTCAAGGGGTGATGGGTGCAAAATGGGGTGGTAAGGGGAGTGTCACGTGTGGAAGGGGGGGCCGAGTGGAGCAGACGGGGGCTAGAGGGGTGGCGTGTTTGGAAGACATGCACGGAGGGGAGAAGGCCGGCCAGCAGTGCCGGCTGCCGTAGTGCCACTGATGCTTGGAGGCATTGCACGGGCGCACCTGGGAGAAGGAGGGCGGAGAGACGAAGGGTGTTTGCGAGTTTCTGTCCACTCTTCAACTCGTGGTTCGAGTCGAGGCCCGGCTCGAGGGGAGGTGGGTGCTGAAGGGGGATTGAAACGGGGGAGCGCAACCAAGTGCACAACAGATCGTGTAGTAAAGGCGGGTCGAAGGGGTGGCGTGTGTGATGGACGCGCACGGGTTGGGGAGGGGGGGCCAGGGCGGCCCGCACTGCTGGTTACCACCCGTGCTGCCCATCCCGCCACTGCTGCTTGAGTTTTGAGTCGACTCAAAACTCGACTCACTACAGGTCGGCCCGCATTGCTGGTTACCACCCGTGCTGCCCATGCCGCCACTGCTGCTTGAGTTTTGAGTCGACTCAAAACTCGACTCACTACAGGTCGGCCCGCATTGCTGGTTACCACCCTTGCAGCGCAGCTGGGAGCACGGAGGGCGGAGAGAAGGGGCAGGTGTGGTGAGCTGTAGATTTATGTCAGCTCGAAAGTTAAGGTGGGGCCTGAGTAGAGCTGCCTCCCTGTCTGTCTTGCTACTGCTGGTGCCGTTGCTTGTGATGGTGTGATGAATCAAGCCGCAGCACTTGAAGATGCAACGGAGAATCTAAGACGCAGCACCTCCACAAGCATTAGAATACCTGAACTTGTAACCAAGCACATGAACAGCACATGTCTGGAGCGAGCATGCAATGTAACATTTAAACAACACATGAGGTGACATGAAACCATGCACCAATGCACACATAGTGCACCTGAATTACACAACACAGCATCCAAAAGAAACGCATCAAAGCAGCAATAATTCAAGTATGCTGGTGGGTGAGATGAGCTCTAATGCACACCAGGTCGGATCAAGATTAGGCATGTAGGGTGGCGAATTGCCGCTCGCCTTGCACCCCGCACTCTGCCCTGTGCCCCCCATGGGCCCCCATTGCCTTCATGTCCCTCGCAATGCTCCCCTATGTCCCCCTCTATCTTCCCGTGCTTCCACCCCCCATCCTCTCACCTTGTGCCCATCACCACCCACATGCACCACAGAGCAATACCTACCCCCACACCATCATAGGGTACTTGCTCATCAGCCTCTGCACGCCTTCCCATGCTCCCACCACGCCACACATCCTCTCACCTTGTGCCCAGCACCACCCACGTGCACCACCAAGCAGTACCCCCACACCATCATAGGGTAGCTGCTCATCAGCCTCTCCATGCTTTCCCTCAGCTCCTCCCACTCACTCAATCCCTCCTCTGCCACCTCCATCACACTCCCCTCCCCGTCCGCCCCTCTTTTCCTTTCCTCTCTTCCCTCTTCTTCCCTCCTTCTCCTCTCCCTTACGTATCTCCTTCCTATCCTTCTCTGTATCACTTCTCCTCTCCACTAATCTCTCAATCCTGTCCCCATCGCCCTCCTTCTCTACCTCCTCCTCCTCCTCCTCCTCCTCCTCCTCCTCCTCCTCCTCCTCCTCCTCCTCCTCCTCCTCCTCCTCCTCCTCCTCCTCCTCCTTCTCCTCCTCCTCCTCCTCCACCTCCTCATCAACATCATCATCATCATCCTCCTCCTCCTCCTCCTCCTCCTCCTCCTCCTCCTCCTCCTCTTCCTCCTCCTCCTCCTCCTCCTCCTCCTCCTCCTCCTCCTCCTCCTCCTCTTCCTCCTCCTTCCCTCTCCCACCCCTCCTCCCCTCGCCTCACTTTACCCTTAGACCCCTCATCCCATGCCACCTCCACCCCCTCTGCTTCCATCTCAGCTATCTCTAGAATCGCCTTCACCACACCCCCCTCGACTTTCTTATGAAATCCCCTGCTAAACATTTGAGGCGCCTCAGAAGTCGTCCCCACTGCCTAAATCTCAGCTATCTCCATACTCGACTTCACCACATCCCTCTCGTCCTTCTTATAAGTTCCCGTGCTATACACTCCCGATGTCGATTCGCTCTCCAAGCCTCTACCCAGGCCCAGCCGGTGCCGAGCCTGGTGATGTGCACAGGTTCGGTTCGCCGCACGGTGTGAAGGCTCGGTAGGTCCACACCTGCTTGAGGGGAGGGGAAGTGGAAAAGAGAGTGGGGCAGAGCGGGTGGATGGTGAGGAGGACGGGGGATGGGTCGGGCCGACCCGGCTACCAGGCCCCGGGTCATGCATTGATGGTGTGCAGCACAACACGCAAACTTGTCGAGTGGTGGATGGTGGTGGATGGTGGTGGTGGATGGTGGTGGATGATGGTGGTGGATGTGGTGGTGGATGGTGGTGGATGGTGGTGGATGATGGTGGTGGATGATGGTGGTGGATGGTGGTGGATGATGGTGGTGGATGTGGTGGTGGATGGTGGTGGATGGTGGTGGATGATGGTGGTGGATGATGGTGGTGGATGGTGGTGGATGATGGTGGTGGATGGTGGTGGATGGTGGTGGACGATTCGCACATGAACTTCGAACCTTGTGCTAATATGAATGACATCAGCACACGAACTGAGGGCAGAGAGCTGCACTTGTTCATGCAAGGTGCCCCACCAGTGCGTGGGGAAGGGTGTAGGAAGGAAGAGATGGTCGTGTGGAAATGTGCGAAGATGGAGGGCCCTGCCAGTGAGAGACCCACCCCTGCCCAGCCCGCAAGGAGCCGGAGAGGGGTGGGATGACTTACAGATCACCTGAAAATCCACCTGAACTTGATGGAAGGCCAAAAACCAAAGTGAATCTGAAAATGGTTGAACCTGAAGAATAACCTAAGCGTGGATCCTCGCCACATTGAGTCTCGCCTCGTTCGGCACGCGGGGTCGTAGACGACCGGGCAGGTGAAAAGTTCCGATGGCTGGGAGGATGTCAGAGGGCGTGGCAGGAGCGCATTCATGGCTGCCCAGACTACGTGAGCGGTTGTGCAGCTTTGGACTGTAGCAGTTGTGGATGGCATGCGGTGGCGGGCGATGGAAGCCTGTGGGCACATCTTGGGATGGAGGAGGGGAGAACCAAGAGAGAGAACAAAGGAAAGAAGGTGAGTGGGGGGCGTGGTGGTAGTGGGATGGTGAGAGTGGTTTCTAAATGCCATACATCCATAGAGCGTGTGTGTCGTGGAGAGCAGAGCACAGAGTGAGAGCAGAGAGCAGGGAGCAGAGCGCAGAGTGAGAGGAGAGAGCAGAGAGAATTGAGCAAAAATCAGAAAGAGGAGAACGGCGAGCAGAGAGCAGAGAGAAGAGAGCAGAGAGGGGAGAGGGGAGAGCAGAAAGCGGAGAGCAGAGAGCAGAGAGCAAAGAGCGGCTACCAGAGGAGAGCGGAGAGCAGAGAGTAGGAACCAGCAACAATAGCGGACCTCTGGGCACGCCGCCCTACATGCATGCATGGATGTACGGGCACGGCGTGCAACAGCATAGGAACGGCCTCTGTGACAACGGGACGCCAACAGCAGCAGCAATGGCTCTACCTGCAAGCTCCATGCGCCCATACCTGAACGCATGCGCCGCACGGCCTCTAGCAACCTTTGGTTATTCGCTTGCAGGGAAAGTAAGAGCGCGAAAGTGCGGTGCGCCAAGCGCACCAGGCGCGGGACCAGAATCCCATTGCCCGGCGTGCCAGGGGGGACAGCGGAAGCCTTTTTTCCGCCATTTTCCGCCTGCGCGCCGTGTCGCTCTTCATCCGCTCCATAGCGCGCCCAAACCTCCGCCTCTTCTGCGCCAGCGTTTCCTTTCCCCCAGCGCCCACACCGCTTCCGCCTTCACATTTACCTCGTCTTCCCCCCATCTCCACCCCACCCACGCGCACGCGCAAGGCTTCCGCTTTAGACCCCCTTGCGCCTCCCCTTGTGCGTCTCTCCTTCCGTAGCCCCACTCATTCCGCGATTCCTACGATTCCTCCGGTAAATTCCGCGTCCCCCTCAAATCCCAACTTTTCGCATCCTGACCTCTCCCCGCCCTTGCTCCACGCTTCTCCCCTTCCCCCTGCTGCACGGACCTAGGTCCGCGGCTACCGCCCGCCCCGCTTTCTGCTGATACCGCACCGCGCTCAACCCTCCTGCTAGCAACTATGGTATTGTAACGCATCACCTACCTACCCTAGTGACTATCCTAGCCAAGGCTCTCTAAAGCGCTACCTATGCAAGGTAGCGACTTACGGGAAGAAAGGGTTGGAAGGGATGATTATTGATTGGTCCACAATTGTAAATCACCACCCACTAAAAGACAAACAATGTTGGGAACCAACCCAACCTTCACATTGGTGGAAATTCAAACCAATAACATTTCAACGTTGCTGTTACAAGTTACAACAGGTAACCAGACAATTCTTATCACAAATAAGTTGCTCTCATTGGTTGCAAATCCAACCAACATGCCACCTAAGCAAACTCACCTTAAAGAGCTCCTTGCCCTTGTTGCCATGGAGGAGGTGGAGCTCCCCAAGGGGTATTGAGGAAGGGGTTTGGAGCTCCAAGGCTCATTCTCCCATTCCCAACTCCAGTTGATCAATTTTGGAAATTGGGTTTTCTTTCAAAGTACAAGGTTTCTCCCTCACAAGTGCTCTAGCCTTCAACTACTCTTTTGGTGAAACTACTCCATCACTCTCAGAGCTTCAACTACCAAGCCTTCAAGGCCCAAGGCTAGCTTAGGGTCTAGTTTATCTTGTATGCACTTGTTGTTGGCGTTTTATAAGCCTACTATAGACCCTTTTGTGGGCATTGGCTATAATCCCGGGTCATTATTGTGATTTTAAGGGCGTTTCTCTATAAGCCCGTGTTGCATTTGGTATCAGAGCTTTGGTTATCCTTGGCCCTGTGTAACTAACTATATTTTTTTTTAGGAGTTTCTAGATCTGAGATCTAGAATAGTCTCAAGCTCTTTTTTAAGAAGAGTTGAGAAACTCCCAAGATCAAGAAATCTTCTTCAAGGATTTCCAAGATTAAAAAGCTCCTTGAGTTTCAAGAGAATTTATTCTCTGCCCACCTTCTTGGTGGAAGACTCATTGCTATTTTCATAATAGCAGAGTGTTACAGATCCAAGATGTGGAAACAAAGAACGAGAAAATGAAATGACTATGAACGAAGTGAGTACAAATAGGAAACCCTAATTGGGTTGTACCCCCTATGGGATACCCCACTATGGCCTACAGAAACAAGTAAGCTATAAGTTCTGACACACCCCCATAGGCAAAGTGGGGGAGAACAAGGGGTCACAAGACCAGTCAAGCAAAGCAAAGCAAAGCTCAGGGTGGATCACAAAGTCACCACGCATTCCGAGCACAAGTTCAAAGGCCACAAGGCCAGTTTACATGCAAGATCATATATAGAGATATACAAGAGCAAGAGTATATATATGCGAAAGTACAAGCAAGGTCAAGAGGAGAGCAAGTGAGGCAAGACAGGCACAAGACCCAACTGCGTGCAGCAACGCTGATGATCACAAGGCGCAAGTGCCTTGGTGAAGACATCAGCAGTGTTGGCCTCAGAGGCCACGTACGCAAGTCGCAGCTGTCCACGCTGCTGTAGCTCACGAGCAAGAAAGTAGCGAAGAGCAATGTGCTTCGTTCTGTGCTCCAGTCGCTGCTCTCGACACAAGGCCAGCATGGCCTTGTTGTCTACGTACAGGACTGGAGGAGAACGAGGCTGCTCTCCAAGGTCGGTCAGCAGGTAGGTGAGCCAGCGTAACTCCTGTGCAGCCATAGCCCCAGCGTAGATCTCAGCCTCACAACTGGAGCCGAGAACAGAAGACGAGCGGGTAGCCCGCCACGAGACAGAGCCGGAACCAAGGCTGAAGGTGTAACCCTGTGACGACCGCTGCGTAGCCTGGTCGTCAGCCCAAGAAGCGTCTGCGTGCCCAGTGAGGACCACTGGACTGCGCCCTCCAAGCACTAGCCCCATGCCCGACGTACTGCACAAGTAGCGCAACACCCTCTTCGCTGCAGCCATGTGCTCGGGTCGGTGTCTCCCAGGAGCAACAAAGCGTGCGAGAATGCTAAGAGGGTATGCAAGGTCAGGTCGTGTGCAGGTCATCAGGTACATGAGGCAGCCAACAAGCTCTGCAAACGGGCCACTCGACTCTACGGACTCATCCGAAGGCAGAGCTGAGAGCGAGTGGCGAGTAGGCAGAGGAGTGGCCTGAGGCGAGGAGTACGTGAAGCCGAAGCGCTGAAGGACCTGCTGCACCATGTGTGACTGAGTCAGGGTAATGGTGCGGCGTGCTCTGTCCCGGGTGATCTGCAAGCCAAGGTAGCTGCGCAGTTCACCCAGTTCAGTGCACGTGTGTCTCTTCTGCAGCTCGGACTTCACGTAGGCGAGTCCAGCAGTGTCAGCTGTGGCAAAGACCAAGTCGTCGACGTACACGAGGATGTAGAACGGCGGCAGAGAGGTGTCGATGCGCAGAAACAGCGACGGGTCGGCAGTGGAAGGAGCAAACCCAAGTGCCGCGAGCGTAGTCCTCAGTGTGTCGTGCCACTCACGTGGCGCCTGGCGGAGACCGTAGACTGGACGCCGGAGACTCCACTGGGTACCAGGAGGGAAAGACCCAGTGAAGCCAGGTGGGCGACGCAGCCAGATCTCCTCGTGCAGGCTGCCCTGCAAGAAAGCTGTGCTGAAGTCGAGAGAGTGCAGCTCGTAGTCACGGTGAGCAGCAACGTGTAGCAAAACCCGAAGAGTGGTCATCTTCGGGGTGGGGGAGAAGGTCTGAAAGTAGTCAACCCCCTGCCGCTGACTGAAGCCACGAGCCACGTAACGCGCCTTGAAGACAGGCGGAGAACCCGGCGGCCGCTTCACCCTGAAAATCCACATGCCACTGACGATGTTCGCCCCAGGAGGGGGAACAGCGTCAACGTAGGTGCCTGTGGACTTCCAGGAAGCCATCTCTGCATCCATAGCTGCCTGCCACTGAGAGGAGTAGGGACCCTCTATCGCCTCCGCGTAAGAGCGCGGAGTCGGGATGTCTGGTGCATCCGGGTCTCCCTCATGGGCTAGCAGTACAGACGCGAGACGAGGTGAAGCGGCGGCCAGACACTGGAACTCCTCCTGCCTGTCCTCAAGGACGTCCGTGCCAAGGGCACACTCACCCCCGACGGACGGAGGACAGGCGGACTCAGACTCAGTGACAAGACGAGCAGCGTAGTCTAGACGACAGCGCGCAGCAAAGTCGACAAGCTCAGTGACAAGGGCAGACGCAGCAGACGACTCGAAGGAGGGGTCAGTGACAGCAGTAGCCAGGAGACGCGTGACAGTAGGACTGGCAGCACGAAGAGCGTCCGACTCCGGGTCGGCAAGAGCAGGAAGAGAGGAAGCAGGAGGAGAAGGCAAAGGGGCACGCAGAGGAGCAGTGGACGGACGCAGTGACATCCGGTGCGTGCCAGGGACAGGAGGAGGACGCTGACGCGACCCGCGACCACTAGCGCGCTCAGTACGAACAGGCGACACAGGACGAGACGCAGGCTCACGACGCTCAGTAAGACCTCCAGTCGGACCAGCGTAGGGAGAAGGAGCAGGCAAAGGGGAGGCAGGCTGTAGCTGTGGCTGTGACCGGACAAGCTGCGGACCCTCTAAGGGAGGAGGAGGAGGACCAGGAGAAGGTGTAAGACCAAGAACCTGCTGCAGGAGCGGAACGAAGTACGGTCGGGGCCGCGCGGCGACGCTAGAAACAACAGGAACAGCACCAGCAGCCCCGGCAGGAGCACCCACTCCAGCAGCACCTCCAGCAGCACCACCAGAAGCTCCAGAACCTCCAGCCGCAGCACCAGGAGCACTGTCAGTCGGGCCGCCAACGGCAGGCTCAGCGCCAACACCCTCAGTAGGACCAGCTCCAGGAGAACTCTCAGACTCAGCAGCTCCAGCACCCACAGTACGAGCGCCGGCGGGGCGCGCAGCAGCAGTGCCCTCTGCAGCCGAAGAACCACCAGCACCAGCAGCACGCCTCCAGCGCCCGGCAAACCACTCACGCAGCTCCTGTGGGGAGAGTGGCTCCCGGCGAGACGAAGCACCCCCAGGCACAGCACCTCCAGGCTCAGCACCCCTAGACACAGCACCCCCAGGCACGGCACCCCCAGGATCAGCACCCCCAGGTCCAGCACCCCCAGGCACAGCACCCCCAGACTCGGCACCTCCAGGCTCAGCACCCCCAGGCACAGCACCCCCAGGCTCAGCACCCCCAGGCTCAGCACCCCCAGACTCGGCACCTCCAGGCTCAGCACCCCCAGACTCCGCACCCCCAGGCTCAGCTCCCGCAGCAGCACCAGAGTCACCAGTGACCTCGACAGGCTCGACCGCGTCTACCTGGGACACACCTGAAGGGGCAGGACCCTGAGGGGGGAGGGGGACTACCGGGGGGGGACCTGGTACCAAGAAGAGCGGGGGTGGGGGGAGGGACGGAGTGCGGTAGGGGAAGAGGCGGTAGTAGGGTACCGACTCGTCGAACGTGACGTCCTGGGAGGACAGAACACGTCGAGAGGTGGGGTGGTAAAACTGCCACCCAGGGGCGTCGGGGGGAAACCCCAGGAAGACGCAGGGAGAAGCACGAGGGGACAGCTTGTCCGCAGACAGGTCGCGAACAAACGCCCGAGATCCCCAGACCCGGAACGCCGACGCATCGCCAACCTTCCCCGTCCACAGCAGGGCTGGGGAGGTCTCCGGTCGAGAGACCCTGGGGTGGAGGTTGATCTGGTGCGCAGCGTACCTGACCGCAAACGGCCACAGAAAATGGGGAGCAGCCGCATGCATCATGGACGTACGAGCGACGTCCATGACCATGCCAATGCGGCGCTCAGCAATCCCATTTTGCTGCGGTGAGTCCGGAAGCGTGAAGGTCTGACGGATGCCTCGCACACGACAGTAGGCACTCAGGAGGCCGGAGGAGAACTCTCCACCTCTGTCCGAGTGCAGACGCAAAACAGGGAAGTCAGAGCCAAAGCTCCTCCGAAGCTGGAGACGAGCTGCGCGGATCCAGTCGATCAGCACCTCAGTGACCTCACCCTTGCTGCGCAAGGGGAAGACTGTGGTGTAACGCGAGTAGTCGTCAACCACCAGCAGGAAGTAGCGCTCCTGACCCTGTCCACGGACGCGGGCTGGGCCCCA